AAACCCCCCACCCTTCTTTATTAAAGAGTTTGGGAGAAGAAGGTAACCCAAATAAGTCGGCACTCGTTCGAATGTCACTAAGTTCGAGCTATTCTTTTATTTATTGCACCATCAACGCTTCCTTTATTTTCTAGGAGCTTATTATATTTACACAATGAATATTGCCAGTTCGCTTTTCATTAAAATTCATAGAGTAACATCAATTGAATCGTAGAAAATAACCGTTGATATCATTCTAGTTAAGACTCCCGAATCAAATCCCCACCTAATTATTACACAAGTTGACTGGTAGAGTACGCAACACTTCATACCTATTACGTAAAGTTCTGTTTGATCATAATTAAATGGTTTTCTATAAGTGGAGGGTTAATAATAACCTTCAATAATTTATCATCAAAGTGAGCAGACAAAACCTACATTAGTTATATTCCGACTATTATTGCATGGATTTTGCCATTAAATATAGTATGGATTTCCATAAATGCATAAATATACGACTCCCGATACCAACCAAATTCCCCTACCACCAAGCCGCTTTATAAGGTTTTTCTACTCCACAACTTCCTCTACAATTATCACTTCTGATGAGTAAACCATAATTGGCCCTAGAGATTCCCAAAAAATTCATAAAAGAATCAGAAAATCTTCCATTCACATCCTTTTACATTTTTGCAGTCAACAGAGACTCCATACCTTTGCAACAAAAGGAAGCTTATTTTTTATTGTCACTTGATAAGGTTTCTGTCCTACTAGTATTAGTTATTATTTCAATGTATGTTCATCTATATATGAACTCTTTTACTTTTACTATTTCAGTCTTCTTCATCCTAACCAGTTGATATAAGGTCTTTTCCACACCTTGTTATTGCTTTTTTAATGAATTTCAAATTCATTGTGAGATTTCTGTTTACACTGAATTATACTATCAAAGATTGATGTATGATAGTTTGTGCAATTGCAGTATTTGGTGTTGGAATTTGATCAACAAAGAAGCAGCCATGACTACTGCTATTTCAAGCAGAAGTCCAAATCCCACTAGGCTTGAGGTTTGTTTCAGACTGTCATTTCTGTTACTTTATATATCGTGTTGTGGTTGTTAATTGTTATGGTAAAAGTGGTAGAGTTACTTTAAAATATGGTGTAGTTGAGATATAAATGTATGTGAATTTTTCAGGGGAAATTTATGGGTATGCTTGTTTGTTGGATTCTGGGACTTGGTTCACTTGTTGCTTGGAATAGTCTGCTGAGCATTGGTGATTACTACTATGCACTGTATCCAGTGAGTCTAAGTTGAAATGATGCAAACAAATCACCTGGATTTTTTGAATTTTTGAATGTCTACTGACTGGTTTTATTTTGTCTATGTATTTGAAGAATTATCATCCTTCAAGGGTTCTCACCCTAGTCTATCAGCCGTTTGCACTTGGAACAATGGCACTTCTTGCATATAATGAGGCAAAAGTTGATACAAGAATGCGCAACTTAGCTGGATATACTCTTTTCACCTTAAGCACATTTTCACTCATAGTGGTATGTTCTGCTTTTTATGCTGTCATTTTTTCCGCTCACTCTTTCCATAATCTGTGTTTTCACTTCTGTCCAGCTGGATTTGGCGACGTCTGGTAAAGGTGGACTTGGAAATTACATTGCTGTATGTGCTATAGTAGGTACATTTGGAGTTGCAGATGCTCATGTTCAAGGTGGAATGGTTGGAGATTTATCTTTCATGTGCCCTGAGTTCATCCAAGTAAGTTGCAGTAACATTTTTTAACTTTCTTCTACTTTAATTGCTACATGAAATCCTGAATTAAGTTTGTATTGCGACTCTAATGAATTATGCAGTCATTTTTAGCTGGTCTTGCTGCATCTGGAGCTCTCACCTCTTGTTTAAGGCTACTGACCAAAGCAGCTTTTGAAAACAGTAGCAACGGTCTACGAAAAGGAGTTAGTACGTAATTCTGATCTCGTTGTTGGAAAGTTAAATAGAATAACACTATACTCGGTTTACTTTCAATCCCATGTAAATTGATGTATCATGATATACTGTGTTGAGTTTGCCCCTGTGAGAAACTTACGTAGAATTCATGATTTTGCAGTGTTGTTTCTTGCCATCTCCACATTCTTTGAATTTCTATGCATCCTTCTATATGCATTCATCTTCCCTAAGCTACCAATTGTGAAGCACTATCGCACAAAGGCAGCTGGAGAAGGATCAACAACTGTTGCAGCAGACTTAGCTGCTGCAGGCATCCAAACTCAACCAATCGAAAAGGTAAACAACTTTTTTTCCTCAAACTAAAAATTGTTCACTACTAAAAAACTGGCTAATTTCGTCCGGGAAAACCGACCGAAATCGGTCGGAAATTGAGAAATAAACGATCGATTTCCGACCGCTGTCGGAAATTTCAATGCGTTAACTGATAGTCAAATTAATTAAATTTTTTTAATTTAATTTTCAAAATACCAACCGAAATCGGTAGGAATTTTAAATATATAATAATTTTAGAAATCTTCCTGATATATATTTTTTTGTATCGCATGTATACTCCCCAGCTCGAGATATCATAGCACCACAATATTATATCTTATTACTATATTACTAATTAGTACTAGTATATATTATTATTATTATTTTGTTGAATTTTAATTCTAAATATAGAATATTAAATCTTAGTACTAAGCACTAACTACAACCCTTCCTATATTTGCTTTTTTTTTTAGTCCACAACTGTTGGACTCTATGCATCAAAGCTCAACTTATAAGATGGAAAAGCTGGGACAAGAGTATTTCCCAATTTCCGACCGAAATCGGTCGGAAATTTTGAAAACTTTTGATAAAAAATTATTTTTGTATATTATATACAAGTATGACCAGGTCTTGGTCAAATATTGACCAATTTCCGACCGAAATCGGTCAGAATTTTTATTTTTTTGCCGTGGGGCCACTATTTCCGTTGTGAGAAATATTTTCTTTGACTTTTGCGATCAATTTACTTAATTTCTGACCGATTTCGGTCTGTTTTGTTTTTTTGGACGAATTTTACCAATTTTCTAGTAGTGGTTGTAAGTGATTTTCATGATCATAATATTTGATATGTTTCATTCAACTCTACAGGCCGGTGATGATGCTAAGCAATTACAACGTCTGAGTACCAAACAATTATTTTTCCAGAACATTGATTATGCATTGGACTTATACTTGATATATGTCCTCACTTTATCAATTTTCCCCGGATTCTTATATGAGAATACTGGTACCCACAAATTGGGCTCATGGTAAGTGTACATGCCAAGAAATCTTTGCTATAATAATTAGCAATACCTCATTAACTTCTTTTTCAACTATCAGGTTGAATGGTCTACATCAATAGTAGTCATTTTTTAAGACATTGGATAAAGTATTAAAATGAAAAATATAGAATGTTCCAATCTGTAGAAGTAGCATTCTGGAACTCCGTGTGATAATTTACAGTATCAAATTGAAATTCAAATGGCACACAGTTCCATATTATCTTGAGCATGTGCAGAGTCAACTTGATATCTTGGAGTTCTCACCCAAAGAAGATAAGACATGCTAGGCTTGATAGAAACTAAGTTGCTTTAACTGCATATTAATATGAAAAATGTCTTTTATATATGAATTACTGATATAATATGTTTTTCTTAAAAAATGTTTTATTACAGGTATGCTCTAGTTTTGATAGCAATGTACAATGTTTGGGATTTGATAGCAAGATACATTCCATTGATCGAGAAAATCAAGCTTAAATCACGAAAGGGCCTGATGATCGCGACACTCTCTCGTTTCTTGCTTATCCCTTGTTTCTACTTCACAGCAAAATATGGCGATCAAGGCTGGATGATATTTCTCGTATCCTTCTTGGGACTCACAAATGGTTATCTCACTGTTTGTGTCATGACAGTTGCTCCTCAAGGATACAAGGTTGGTAAAGTTCTTCTTCTGCCGAATATAGAGATGTCCTTTCCTAAAATTTTAACACTTGCTGGAATTTGATTTTTGTAGGGGCCTGAGCAAAATGCATTGGGCAACATACTAGTGCTATTTCTACTATGTGGAATATTTTCTGGTGTTTCTTTAGATTGGTTGTGGATTATTGGTAACGGGAAATTTTGAGGACTCAAGATGGTATGGTTTGACAGAACAATAGCTAACATTGTTATTTAGTGGAAATGATCGTATACTTCTGGCTTTGAAATCTGCATTTCTTTCCTTTCTTCATATCAGGTTTCAGCTTTTAGGAACAATTAGTGGAGTATAGGGAATGATGAAATTATTTCCCATATGTGATGACTAAACTACTTTGTGGAGATTACCTGAGCCTCTGCATTGCAAAATAATTGGACTTCTAAGAACCAACCAGTTGCATGTATAGTCAACTAATTTTTGTTCAGTTATTTTCATTGTTTTACAATTGAAATTTTTTACATAGACGAGCTACCATTGAAGCCCGCAGTAGGATGTATATTCCGGACGTTTTGTCGTGTATGCTACTAGAAAAAATATTATCTGACCAATGATTTTTTCAATATTTAGATTTTCATTTTTTTTTTCTTTTCGATCCCTTCTTTCATAACTAGAACCCGGACAAGGAAGAGATAAGATGGCACTATAGAAAATATGTTCAGAAATTCATAATAGAGTCCATAATGACCGAAATGATTATTTTCATGTATAAGGATCCTAGATTGTAAGTGAGAATACGTAGTTGTTGGAGCTTATTGGGTGATTTGCAGCCGTATCCTATATTTGTACCACATTTTAATCTGTACCTTATTTTTAAAAATTATTGATTTGGTAGCCAGTTGACAAAAAATCTGTAATAATATGACAATTTTACCCCTAATAGTATTAGCATTAGCATGTTACTTTGGAGATGACCTCATTCGCATTAGCATACCGTAAAACAAGCCCTGATAAACGTAGCAGCATGCTAACATTTGGAGATGACGTTGTTTTACAGTACCGGGGGTTATTCATTAGCATGCAAGATGGTGTAAAACTTCAGCCAATTACAGTAGCAGTTGAAGTTGTTTTACATTGAAGCTAAAACTTCATGCTAATGCATGCTGAAGTTATTTATCCTGCAGCCGACATTTTTGTTATGAGTTTTATCCAAAACTTCAGTCTAAACATGCTGAAGTTATTTAGTTCATTTGCTAAAACTTCAGACTAAACACACTGCAGTTATTTAGTTCATTTGCTAAATCTTCAGTTTAAACATGCTGAAGTTATTTAGTTCATTTTCGAAAACTTCAGACTAAACATGCTTAACTTTTTGTCTTGCAATATGTAATTTTCTAATGAGTTTTTGCTAATGCATGCTGAAGTTATTTAGTTCATTTGCTAAAATTTCATACTAAACATGCTTAGGTTGTTTAGTTTATTTGCTAAAACTTCATGCCAAAACATGTTGAAGAGTTGTCCTGCAGTATACAGTTTTGTCAATAGTCTTGAAGGACAAAATCGTCTTTTTAAAACGCTTTTAACAAAAAAAAAATGAGTACGTACGGATGCAAACGAAAAAATAAAACGGGTATAAGTTAAAAGGGGGTGCCCAATGCAATTTTTACGAGCTTATTTCCCGAAAGAGTAATGACAATCAAAAAAAGATTTCTATTTTAACGTTGGTGTAAAGTGTAAACCTTCTTTTGAATTTTCCCCAAAATTGGTAAGAATTTAACCAAGATCAAAAAACACTTCGAGAATGCGATTTGTGAGCCATTATCAGGACGATACATACTCTACTTGAAATTGTTTAACTATTAGTAGTTGAAAGACTGAAAGGGCCAGTACTTATTTTTGGCGGTTCTGCAATTATAGAGTGAATCGCATATTGTTCTGGTTTATTTAGTAAGAAATGATATCCTATATCTTTCCCTTTTAAGTATCAATAAAATAAATATTGTAGAATACATTAGAAAGGTGAAAAATACTACTATGATTAAATACACCAAAGCAAACCCTTGTATACATATTCTAGAAACTTAAAGTAAATCCTAAACCTAAACAAAGGAAAAACGCAGCGTAAGAGACACACTGTAACATAGGTAACATTGATAATAAAGAATTCTAAATCCTAAAGGAAAGCCATGCGTAAAGAATCAAAACAAAGAAAAACGCAAAGAATACAGCAGTAAACAATCCTAATTTTAAACCAAGAAAACCCTAAATAATGGTAATACACGGCAATTTTGGTTTTTTTCCCCAATAAAAATTATTAGTGATGGCAAGTACAATTATATCCAACTAAAATATAATTACTAAGGGTAAAAAAGGCGAACGACATTTCGATATGAGCTTTGTGCTTTTAATATAGTATAGATAAAATAATTTTTCCTTTGTTGTTTCATGCACTCACACGACATATGAGGGAAGGTGAAATGACCGTTACAAATTTTTCCTTCAACTTAAATTTACCTAAAGTTTGCTCAAATTATAGGAACTATTACATTAAATCTGGTTCACTAGGATTCCTAACAGTTAACTGAACGGTAAGAAAGTAAAGTCCATAAAATTAAAGAACACACGATTTTTTTTTATGTAGAAAATCACTATGACTCAAAGGTGAAAAGATCATGAAGCACAAACCTATGGAATTTCAACTAACTCTTCCAGAAAACAATGAGCTGGTCGAAACTATGCTCTCTTTGCATTGCTAAACTTTGAACGCACACACTTCTTCAATGAGAAATATCAACCTTGATAGCAGGCGCGGCCCAACATCATCCGAGGCCTAAAGCAAAGCCTTAATAAAAAGCTTATATATATATATATATATATATATATATATATTATTTAATGAACATCGTTTTTTTAAAAATTAGACAAGTGAGAATGTGGAATTAAAAAAAATGAGAACTTAATTTTATAAAGTACAGAAAATTAAATGAATTTAACGTTGATTGCATCACAACTGAAATGGGAGA